AGAATTTGAAGGACGGCCCCTTACCACGTTCACTGCTTTGCTGCACCAGCCCAGCTACCACACCAAGAACCATTGTTTTGATAAAAGGCACTTAAACCCAAATGACTTCAGTGGTCATCTGAGAGATTTCTGAACGTTAAATCTTAAGTCTTTGTCTAGGAGGACCAACATAAGGGTTAAAAAAGGTGTCTCTGTCCCCAGACCCTAAAGCCAGACCCAAAAGCCAATATAACATAAAGTGAGGTTTATTGCTACTGATAACACCAAAACTGAAAGCATTAACTCTGGGGTGAACAAAGACCAAAATAATAAACAAACAAGCAAAGAAAGTGCAACCTAGCTCTGTGTGAAACAAAACCAAACTAAACAGTATTTTCAACACTACACACAAAATCTAATTATTCTCAAAAGACACACAAAATTGATTACTGAGGGTTTGGAGGCCAAGAACATGTCTGCTGCTGTCAGTTGAGAGAGAACAACTGCTGGTTTAAGGGTTTTTAAAACAGCCAGTTTTTAATGGGGAACCAATCAGCAGCTCTAAAGGCAACTTGTGTAAAGGCAACACATATTTTAGGTTTTCAAGTATTTTAAAACGTTTGTATATGTATATATACATATACGCGGGAGCAACTGTCATCTGAGGTGTCAGCCCTGGAGGAGGTACCACCAGACCACGACTACTTTTAACAGGCAAGTGCAAATTTGTCTAGGAACCTTTTCTGCGGTGGCATATGGCACTTCATGGTACTCCTGCTTGCATATCTCTGACATCTTAGTGGTGCGGCAGCTGTCGATAGAGCCAGCCCTGCAAACCTGTGGATGGACGTTGCAGTGGACAGTGGGAGGATGTGTTACACCCTGAAAAGGGGCTGAAAAGGGGATAAATCAATGACGACGCTCAGACAGGATGCTTCTCTTTCAGCAGCTTCATTGCGAATGAGGCATCGTGGCCAGAGCTCCCCCTCATAACTAATCAATCATGATCACTGAATCACATGGATTATTCCCCAGGCTCGACAAGTAGATCACAGATTGAATTTTACACAGGTTGTAGTCACATTAAGGATTGTTATCCGGTTGAACATAGTCATGAACTCTTTTACTGTTTTAGCCTGTGTTACATTACATCTCTTTGATGGGACTTCTTTTACCCCTGTTTATACATTTACATATTTGAAATAAATTGAATAATACATTGGGTAACTTTTAACCACAACTTTTTACTCCATTATGAACTTCAACTAATAATCAATCTATCACAGATGCATCCTTAAGCTCTCTTTGCAGACCACCCTGTGTGATTCTCCACTCGCCGACTAGATGAGACAAACCGCAGGTCACAGTTGCAGCACCCCATCCATGTCTGATCTATCTTCAGCAGATCCAGCAACACTGCCAGGGACTTCCTGGCATGTATTGGAGTTGTGACAGAAATGGTCTGGGAACAGGACAATCAGGTTAATCTTGTGTGGACACATGTACATAGCTGCAAATATTGTAGTCTTCAAATGCTGCTTATGCATTGCACATTTGTTTTTGTTTTTTTGTTGTTGTTGTTGCTGATATGTACTCTGTTTTTGAGTGAATGTCCATTTGTAATTATGACTTGGCATCATGTCAATACCTGTTGATTAAATGGATTCCGTGACTATTACTGTTTGATTCCATTTATTGCGAAAATAAGACTTGTAACGTCCAACACAAAGGGCATAATGTAACAAAATAATTTAAAGGAAAGCGTCTGCAATGCAGGAAATAGAAGGTGTCTGGTGCCTGGAAAATCATCTCAACACACAAATGTCACAGAACTGTCAAAGAAAATTAGAGGGGCGCAGCAGTCATTTTGGGATCAGACGTTCCAGGATTGAAAAAAGTCTGTCCATTCGCTCCTTGCTCTCCTGCGCCCTTCTCTCCTCTGCCTCCCTTTGCTGCTGCATGTCCTCCCTGATGAGGTTGAGCAGCTTGTCATCCCGATCCCCTTCCTTGCTGTTGTCGGTGGCTGACTGTCTCCCTCATCAGTGTCCAATTCTGCTACGTTCTGGTCACCCACTGCTGAACTAGGCCCTGGAGTGTCCTCAGGGAGAGTGGACAGTAGGACAGGGGGCCTGATGGACGGCCTCTGTCCTATTACCTCGTCCATGAGGGCATACCAGGGCCAAGTGGCAGCAGTTGGCTTCCCACTTACACCCTCTCCTGACCCTGGATACTTGCAGTCCTAAAGGCAGGGGAAATAAAAACATGACAGTTAACACATGATAACACCACAACACTTCTTAGTAGGTGTACATTTACTAACTTGTGTCCTCGTGACTTATCTGCTTGAGAACAACATACTTTGTATTTTGTCTTGAGGTTATCCCACTTTTTCCTTGCCTGCAAGGGGGTGACTGTCCCCTGCAAGCCCATCTTCTCCAGTATAGTCCTGATCACACCTGAAAAATAAGAGCAGACAGAAACCTTGGCAACTATGTTGATCCTCACATCCGAATGTTTGCACATCAGCACGCCAGAGTGATACTGAATGGACATCACAGGTTCTGTGCAGCATGAGGGTTCATGAAACTACACTCATATATGGGTGTGAATTGATTTGTTCTTGTACCTCCATGCCACAGTGGCAGAATTCTTCACCCCAGTGAAGAGGTGGTCGTTTTCGCCTCGCAATCTGATGAGGAGAGTTGTTTGCTCTTTGTTCCCTGCAACGTATCACAGACCGATTAATTAGCAAGATATAACGTAGCTGTATGTGAGTGGCAATGCATGACAAACTGCTGGGGCC